CGGCATTCGAGTGCAGTGCCGGCCACGTTAGTTCGTTGTGTACCGAAGGCTTAGTTTAATATGCAGTGTGCTCTACCCACACTGTCCTCAACTGGTCGTCAGGCTTATTGGACCCACTTTCACTTTCACTAAATAAGTTGAGCTAAAATATATACTACTTACCAGCTATATCACCTTCATAGGAAACACTGTCCTGTGTATCTCTCCCTATATAGTTCATCACACAGAATACAAAAACGAGAGAGAAGCACAGAGGCTTGGTAGTGAAGGTGGGAGGGAGAGAGGACAGGGTAATAAGAGAGGCACGGGGATGTGTTGCCCAGGGAGGGAGAATAAGAGAGTGGAGACACAACTTTGGTGGAGTGTCACACATCTCTGTTCTGATACAGTCGCTGTATATCCAGTGAATACGAGAGAAGGGAGGACCAAGGTTCTCACGACTCGTGGATCTGGTAAAGAATTACATGATGCTCAATACATTTATCTGAATATATCTCTACTTTTTTATCTGATTGATTACCTGAAGTAACTCAGTGCAATTATGCTTTACTTGTTTGTTTTCGTAATTAATTAGACTTATAATTTCATTTAATCATGAATCACTGTTTGTGTTGTTTCCTGTTATATCCGGGTGATGTATTGTCATGGTCATCACACCGTTCGTTGTGGTCCTTAATATCTTCTCGTGCACTAAAATCTCTTAATAGTCAAAATTAACTAACCTTACTAAGCTGAGTAGATTCTAGTTTTGTCCGCCAAATATCTTAGAATTTGCTTTTACCAGATACAGTTCATATAACAACAACAGAAACTGCAAAACTTTTTTTCATTTTTTGTGGGAGAGTCAAAACCTCAGGGGTGACTGTGAGTAGTGGCTGAAATCGTACATACAGTATACTCGTAGGTTAACAAACATATACTGTTATGTTCATCTTTTGGTGCTTTAACTGCCAAGGATTTTTGTGTCATTAGAACAATGTTCCTTTGTATCCATATAACAGGTTCACAATCCTGCCGGCCACCTGGTCGTTGTTAAGCTTACCTCCAATCCCATTCTTTCCAGTGTTGTTGTTGGTACTTTTTTATACAATAGACAAAACTAAATAAAAAATATTGTATCATAGTTTTAACGTAAAGCCTGGTAACTCCTCCTCAGCCAGAGGCGAGAGGCCATCAGGAGGACTCACTAACAATATATATCTTCAGCATATTTAAATCACGTAAGTTTATATAGGTATTAAATAAAATTAAATGCCTTAAAGAAAATAGCGTAAGTAGAAGTGAAGGAATAATCTCTTAAATACAGCCTCTGACACTGACCAGCCACCTTAAATCGATTTTTCTTAATTTAGCCAAACATTTTCCAATTATATATACTGACTGGATATTGAACTTATAGAATTAAAGATAGGTGACCATCGAATAGACATACTGTATGTGAATCTGCTTACTCAGCGCTGGTAACTTGTTCATACATCACCAACACTAAAAAATATTGGACGACTTGAATTATTCCTCATACAAGTCACGTCGAGTGTACAGGTAGCCTGAGATCCCTGGGGGGCTATTAACACCTGAGACAAAACATGACCTGATTTTGAGGGAATAAAATTTTTATTAATATCAGACTTGAAGCTCGTTGATTAATTTATTAGTGTCTGATTAAACTTGTTATATGTATTAATTTACCCGTATTTATAATGTTATTGTGGGTACACCAATAAACATCTAACCGTATTGTAGTGTTGGGTATATATCATGGAAAAAACTAATAACTAAATGTCTTCTGATTATTTTTGTTTTTACATTGAAAATGTTGATATGTGATATAGACAAGTAATTTATTCATTGCCTTTGTATAACATATCAGTATACTGTATATAGCATTAACCCGTTTGTGAAGTGACACATGGAGTTTAGAGAAAAAAAGACCATCGCTTTATGGTAGCTGTAACTTTTGTACTTCTGACTATATTGCAGACATTAGTACTGGTCTCTCTTATGATTTATATTACAGCTGGATAGCAACCTCTATAACATCTATTAAGATCGTCACTGGTGCAATAAATACGTTTTCTATTGTGTAGCGTCACAGAAAATGTCAATTTTTTAATGGATAACTCGTATATAATCTTTAGTACGCCCTATACCACTACCAGAGTCCGTGCATATTGCCTTAAGTCTATATATAGATAGTGTTAAGAGAGTATTCATGGTACCGTTGGGTAGGTCCAATTGGTACCAAATAGTGTAACATTGTGACTGGTATAACGGCTGTCTCAAGGTTGTTTTGCTTACGTCTGTCTGAGATTAATAAACAGAGCTCTCGCATTTGACGGATGGATATGTACTGCACAAGTGTAATGACCTAAGAATCTCGTAGTTGTATGGCATGTATGTGAAGTGTTGAGGTTAACCCATAAAATTTGTTAAAGTGAAGTTATTTTACTTACAGTCTGTGTGAGGTTAGTACACATAGCTACCCCACGGTGCCATGACCAGAGAATATCGTTGATGTCTTAAATGTATGTGAAGTGTTGAGGTCATCCCATTATCTTTGTGTAAAGTGAATGAAGCTATACCTGGCACTCGACTGTTAGTTCCTCAGTTAGGAGGTAGTGAGGTGCGTAAGTGAATTTATCAGAACCCCGACAGCTCAGACACTGTATTATATAATTTATATAATTCCCTATGAGTCACCCATTAAAGACAAATTCACCAGGAGCAGTTGGGGGATTAAACAAACAACCGCCTTCATTTCCTCATCAAGGTGGCAAATAAACGCACACACACACACACACACACACACACACACACACACACACTAATGGAGATAAGAGTGCACAAGACGGTGTTCAAGACTTCTCTCTCCCTTTGTTATACGACATATCCAAGAGAGGTTCACTATACTGGCCTAACCATCACCTCATCTATCAGTTTGGGACAAAGGTGCTACACTATCCTCCCAACCGCCACCTGTTATCACCAGCCTCGTACTCTAACCATTGTAAAAATCATCAACATCTCGAATATAACTTGTGTTTTCACTCCTTGTCAATATCTGTGTGTACTGTAACTACTCTGAAATGCCTTGTTAAATGACTTTCTCCCCTGTCACTATATCTTAATTATGAAACCCTTTGGTTTTTGTATATTTTCGGTTTATGGCTGGTGTAGGCCTACTTCTTAATAATACGATATTATTATTATTATTATTATTATTATTATTATTATTATTATTATTATTATTATTATTATTATTATTATTATTATTATTAATTTATTATTTTTTTTAATTATTATTATTATTACACACACACACACACACACACACACACACACACACACACACATGTATGCATGTATATACTGTATATAAAATCAGTGATAATTGCAGTTGTTCATACATCAGGCGGGGTGAATATTGCACAATAAGAGCAACAGTTTGTGTGGCCATCGAAGGTAAGATAAGCGCTCATACCCCGTGGAGGTGTTTCCGGCCAGGCTATAACACTCCTCTCTAATGTTAACAGTTGTGTAAGCCGGGGATGCTCATTTCAAGGGTTGACATTGGCGGATCCATTGAGCCCCTACGCTTACAAACCTGCCCCTAAAATAAGAACCTTGGCTGACAATGTTTACAGGGAGGAGAAATAGATTCGAGACCGAGGTGACCCACGAAGGTTCATTCTTACCGTCAGAAAATGTCTCTCCATCAGAAGCCCTGAAGTAACAGACCCAGATGAACCGTCACCGTCTCCTTCAGAAGCCCGAGAAGGACTTTGTGATCTTATAAGGTTTCTTGATTATTTCCCCACAGGTCACCAGAACCCTCGCGACTTTACGTCTTCCAACAATCAAACACTTCGTCTTCTTCTGAGTTTAGAGATAGAAAAAAAATCCATTGTTGATATTTTTATATGTTTTTAATTATTTACCTTTGTTTTGTTTTTCTTTCAGTTGATGACATTACACTCTTATTATTTTGCTAACAACCTTTTGGCTGTCATCTATTTTCCAGGATTTACATACAAAACCGTTTGAGTTATTTAATGACATCATTTTGTCGACTTTCAGATGGTGAACTGGTGAGAAATTTATACTTACATTTCACAATTTCAGGTGATCCAGTAATTACTTATTATACCTGTGTTTCACGTAAGAAAAGGTTCGTGTGTTTAATAAAAACTTTTAATAATAAAAGTACAATAAAAGTATTATTATCTTTCGTACAACAGAAGGTACTCTTATCATATCTTAAATCACTTGAGGTTACAACAGGTCAGTTATATTATCGACTGTGTTTAGTTTTTTCGTTTCCATCATCGAGAAAGGACACAGACAGACAGATTGACAGAATGGCAGACAGAACAAGAGAAAGGCACCGAAACACAGTAACCGATAGATAGACAGGAGATGAAAATATGGAAATGAGGAGACAGAGAAAAATAAGAGACAGGAAAAAGCGGCATAATGAGTCACATTGAGACGGACATACACACATACACACATACACCACAACAGCATCCAGCCCACACAAGCATTGTAAAAAAAATCATCAATAACTTGTAATCAACCAGTGTATTCACTCTCAATCAATCTTACCTTTTGCACTGTCACTATGTTGAAATGCCCTGTAGTTTGAGCTTCTCCCCACCTAGTTATTATATATCATACTTGTATCACTTGTGTTACTTGTATATTATTTGTCAATCAAGATATCCATTTCCCAATTATGTAACTGTATATTTTCAGCACACACACACACACACACACACACACACACACACACACACACACACACACACACACACAGTGAAAGAGAGTCATAAAAAGACTGATAGCTAGAAAGAGAAGCAGTGATGCAGAAGAAGACACAAATGGAGAGAGGAAAACACACAAAGGGAGAAAAAATAGACAGAAATAGAGAGACAGAGGCAAGAAAACAGAAAGAGATAGAGAGAAAGAAAATTTGATAATCAATAAAATACATCAGATAGAGAGAGAGAGAGGCAAGAGAATGACAAGAACAAGAATGAAGATGGAGTAAACACGTAAGAAAAAAAATCCTTCCCTATCAGCGTCTGTGATCCTTCATCCAGTCCTCCCTGTTCTGGGCGATAGAGGACCAGTCGTTGGGGGGGAAGAACTCCGGCATGGGTAAGACTGCGTTAAGGATGATGACAGTAGTGACCAACGTGAGGAACAGACAGAGAGACGTCCACCAGCAGTAACGCTCCCACTTCTCTTTTCTTAGGTTCCTGAGGACAACCACTCCGACGAGGAGGCCGGCCATGGCTCCAGCCAAGTGAGCCATATGACCGGTCTGTATGTGGTGATAGGAAACGTGGTTACTTGTGAGGTTTAGGTTTTAGAAACAGAGAGAGAGAGAGAGGGAAGAAAAAATTTAGTTGATTTTTCTGCATATTAGAAAGGATACCGTCTCTCTCTCTCTCTCTCTCTCTCTCTCTCTCTCTCTCTCTCTCTCTCTCTCTCTCTCTCTCTCTTTCTGAGGGAAATATAATGGCGGCTGGTTTAAAAGGTGTATTCTATCAGCGGAGGAGCATAGATATATCATCAGTATTAAAAGGGTATCGATATATTATATTAGTGGAGAGGTATATTTCTAGAGGAGGAATATAGACAGTTCATATGTAAAGGAAAGTAGATATATTGATAGTAGAACGATATAACCAACACACTTTACACTCACCGTGGTCCCGGGGTTGGTATAAGTATCCCAGACGGCATACCCAAGATCAAGGGACATTATCATCAAGATCACTATTAGTTGTACCCAAGGAACCTCCATCTCTGACCAGTTCTGTGAAGAATATGTGACACTGTATTGTTGAGTAACACAAGTTGATTCTCACATCATTAAAGACGATATAGTCAAAATCATATCAGAAGGAACCTGGGAATTGCTATAAGTTGTGACCTACTCTGTCCCCTGCCATAAGAAGTGACTATGTGACCTGCCATTAGATGCGACCTGCCATAAGAAGTGACCTACTATGTGACCTGCCATAAGATGTGACCGACCACAAACAGTATGAGACGGAGGACTTACCATAAGCAGGTTGCCGAGATGGGCGTACTCAATTGCATACACGCCCCCGGACGCTCCTGCCAGGTAGAATGTGGGCGTGTATAGAGAGTGGGCGAGTGACCCAGCCAGCACCCCGCCCAGGTAGATGATGACGACCCGCCAGGTGTGCACCAGCTCTAGCAGGACTCCGAGCACCACCTGTACCACCAGGTTGTTCACCAAGTGCACCCATCTGTACGTGAACAACACCTGTACTGTTATGTCACTCGTGTGCCTCTACGTGAGTCACACTTGTACACGAGAAGGGAAACGTCACCTCTATATATACAACAACTGTTTATCGTGTCATTATATATACATTATATATGACGTCACCTGTATGTGTACAAATGTATATGATGTGATTTGTATATGTACAACTGTGTATGACGTCACCTGTATGTATGCAACTGTGTATGACGTAAACTTTAAGTGTACCATAGTTATGCATTATATCACTTGAATGAATACAACATCCGTATATCACTTCACTTATTAATTGTTCATCATACCAATTGTACTGTGTATCATGTCACTAGTGTGTGTGTGTATACCAACTGTACATCACATCACCTCTACAGCCAAACAACACCTGTAGATTAATAATAATAATAATAATAATAATAATAATAATAATAATAATAATAATAATAATAATAATAATAATAATAATAATAATAATCTTCAGTGAAATAATCATACAGGTTTACAATTCAGCACAAATACAGACAGGTGTTTATTTCTTGTGTCAAATTAAATCAGTTTACTTAAAATATCAATACAAGTACAAGTTTAGGTATAGCGAACAGGTGAAGTAATACTTGTATGGTGATGTTATAACAGAGATGGAGAGATCTGATGAAAGAGATGGTGAAAGAGATGGTGAAAGAGACTGAAAGAGACAGAATCAATGAAACAAGAGAAAAGAGACAGAAGAAGTTGAGAAAAGCCTGTATTGTATTGAAGAGAGAGAGAGAGAGAGAGAGAGAGAGAGAGAGAGAGAGAGAGACGTAACCTACCCAGAATGTATTAGCGCGTAGAGCAAATACCGCCAGGCCTCGTAGCGTCGACTGGGATTGTACACTAATGGGGAGTAGATGGGACACGGCCCATTACCAATTATGGGCAGGTCCATGTCCACCACGTAGAAGATGAACGTGATGATCTGCTCAGGAGATGTAAACAATGACTTGAGGAAATTGAACATAAGGTAGCAAAAGATGAACATTATCTTTAGGGTGGAACAATAGGATGGAGCGAACTGAACATTGTGGTGAGGGATGTTGAACGCTGATTAATTATTTACTGCAGTCAGGCGCGGCGATGATAAGTTTACATATAAGATGATAGTTCGTCAGGTAAGAACACTTGTATTCTTCGCACAAAGTCATTTAACCTCAAACTTTTCTCAGGGTAATTGATAAGGTCATTGCCCATACGTAAATATTGACACAGAAAACAGTAGAATATAACAAAGTGAATAATTATAACAATATCACTCAGGATAACTAACGTGGTATGTTATCAGATTACAGAGTTAATATCAATCACAGTACATAGACACGAACAGTGAGGAAGACTTAAGTTACCTCAGCGAGAGTGATTAGTATCATGAAGAGTGGCGGTGGGCAGCACGAGTACTCCTCGATGTACCTGCGCTTCTCTAATGTCCTCTCCCCACGAGGCAACACTCCCAGGGCCCCGCGACGCAAAATTGTGCTCCCGCGGTTCGCTGCACTCTTCACCCTCACCTGGGAAACAAGAGAGAATATTATGAATTTTATTGACTCTGCGGCTCTGAGTATCATTAACTCTCTCCTGGGGAAACTATTGTAATATTATCGTCTACATGGCCAGAGATCCATTGATTGCCACTGTGCCATATATTCTTCACCTTACTTGGGTGTGTGGGGCGGGGGACCTACCTGTTGTACTGCCGTTAAGTATATGGCCACAGAATTTAATGTGTTGGAAAATACAAAAAAGGGGCACTTTCTTCCTACTATCTAAATACACCAACTAAAACTGCTCTGGGAATTTAAGGTGAGTGGTTAGAATGGCTCGGGTTTGGTTGGTTCTTATCGCCTATAAAAATAATACTGTAGTTCACCTGCCCTGTTTGTGGTACTTCTCCTGTATTGTACATTTTACTCTTTGGCCAGACGTCCGTGTAGTGTCATTATGGTTGTTATCCTCTTTGTTTTTGTCTTCATGCATAGTACTGTACATAAATAATAATCTTTTGACATACAGAGAAAAGACCCTCACTGAACGATCTCAAAACAGAACAGATATAATGTAAATTAATCTTCAAATTAAGAAAGAAAAAGTCCTTACTGAGTGATCTTCGAAAAGCTCACACAAATAAGGGTTTAGGCCTCACATAAAACAAAGAACTCAACTAAGCATCTGAACTCACGAAGCGAAGGAACTCCTCATACTCGACATAGCCATCTCTGTTCGAGTCGATCTCCTTCATGAGAGCGCCTTGACACTTCTCGAGCATCCTGATCACCGCCAAGTTGGGCAGCGTGTCCGCAGCCTCTGTAGTCAGCAACCACTCGCTCATCCTCCTGGGGTGTACAAGTTCGCTCCTGTAGAATACGAAGTGAGGTAGACGGGATCGGTTGTAGTCTTGAGGTAAAATCCATTGCCAGTTGAAGTCTATCGGCGCCGGGTTGTTGTGTACATAGTCTACTAGTGTCATCCATACGCTGAACAGGCCCTGGAAATATAAAGAAGAATTTGTTTTTGTTCTTCTCTATACAATACGAATAATATGTCAGTATACACTTATTTGTCTATCTATGCTTCTCTAGTCAATATATATATACCGGTATAATAAATTTGATAAAGATTTGTATTTAAGGATATAAAGCAAACAAAATAAGAATACTTTAATCTATAACGTTTTCGTCGGAAATTTATATATTTTTCGAGTTTTTTACTTAAAAGATTTCACTTGAAAAATGCAATTTTGATCACATATAGTAGGCAGGGCTTTGGAGTAGAGGGAAATTGTGGGGTAAAAACACCCCAAAAACTGACGAAAACAAACCTAATGAAACCTAACCTATTACAGAAAACTTAAAAAAATGCCTAGGTTAAGTTTATTAAGAACATTCCAAAAACGATCTAGGAAATAGATTTTTACCAAGCAAAAAGATCAAGAACCAAACGTAACGACAATCAAATGTCATTATACATGTCTAACCTAACCAGAGACACCAGAAGGATTTGACCTAACCTCCTATCAAGGGGGACTTAGTGAAGCAAGATGAAAAAAAGGAACCTGAACAACAAACCTGAAATCGAAAAGTAGAAAAGTTCATAAAATATAAATTTCCGACAAAAATGCCATAAAGTACAGTATATTTATTTTGTTTGCTCTATCTCTCTATATACAAATCAATGTAGAGTTCCGTGGTTGTCCTTTACTGAATTTTAACCATAGATTTTTATATATTTCGATCTGTTTATCTTTTTATCTATCTATCCATCTTTCGTCAACCCTCTCTAACTTTCGAGCGAACTACAGCATGCAGCACAGAAACCCCATGAAAGGGAGATGGTAAAAGAGCCATCACCATACAATTGGTACCTTCACCTTGCAGGGGGTACCATCACCATACAGAGGGTACCATCATCATACAAGGGTACCACCATCATACAAGGGTACCATCACCATACAGGGGTACCATCACCATACAAGGGTACCATCACCATACAGGGGTACCATCACCATACAAGGGTACCATCACCATACAGGGGTACCATCATCATACAAGGGTACCATCACCATACAGAGGGGTACCATCACCATACAGGGGTATTGTCACCTATGAATCATCGTTACCAATGTATTTACCTCCTCCTCGGGCGAAGGTTCCCTGTCCAGCACGTCTAAGGCCACCCGCATCAGGACGCCTCTCTCCCACGAGTTAACTGGCAACACTGTGTCGTACTGGAGAAGAGGAATAGCGTAACTTAACACTAGGAGAGAAATTTATGTAGAATAACTTTAATTTTCTTCCTTAAGACGTGAAATTGCACTTAATTGTCTCACTGCAGCTGTGATGTAAGAAGAATTCTCAATAGTTTCTAAGTTAAATATTTCTGTAAATGGAGAAGTGAGAACGATTGTAACACAAAGACAAATTTCTAAAAAGTAAGATCTATATTTTTCCCCAGACTGTAGATGTGAGAGCCTTTGTAAAGTTGGTTAGTGACTCTGACTCTCGTAAGGTGAAGCTGTTTAATACAATATATATATATATATATATATATATATATATATATATATATATATATATATATATATATATATATATATATATATATATATATATATATATATATATATATATATATATATATATATGGGAATCACTGTACCTGTAATTCTCACATAACTCTGTAATTATACTTGTAATTATATTCAATAAATGTGAATCCAGTACAGACTCCGGGGAGGCTGGGAGAAGGGGGGAGGGGGAGGTACTTACGAAGTGTCTGAATTCGTTGTACTCGACGTAGCCATTGCCCCGGACGTCGGCCTCCTGCAGTAGCTTCAGCGCTTGTGGGATGGCCTGGGCGTTGTTGGGCGTCCTGGGGATCCGTTCCTCGAAAAAGTCGAGATCGATCCTGCCCCGCCCTTCCTCCAGGAGGTACCACACGTCCTTCCAGTCCAGTACCTCTTGGCTGCCGTGTGCTGTGGGCATCTGTGGACGGCATCACTGGCATATTCACGTACAAATGGACGTAGATGGACATATATATTTATATTTATAATAAACGTACATTTAAATAAATGTTTTGATGTATATTTGTATTATACTGTACAGCCATATATATATAGTATATAATGCACACATAAGGGTCGAGTGATAAAGCAAAAGACAAAATGCTTAAATAGAGTTAAAGTGTGTGTGTGTGTAAGAGAAACATGGAGATAAAGAGAGAGATATCACCACTCACCACCTGTCTCTGCGGTCGTAGTGGTATCTCCTCCCAGTCGTGTTCCATCTTTGTCTCTCCCACTCTTTTCCAAAACCACTGAAGCTTGAGTCTCTACTTTCTCTTGCTTTCTTCTCCTTGTCTTTTCGCTCTCTAGCAAATCTTCCTTCACATATCCCCTTACCTCTCTCCTTCCCTTCCTTCAGCCGCCACCGCACATCTCCTGACTCACCCACACCCTTGTTTGTGAGTCAATGTTAAGTCAAAGTGCTAACTCTTGTTGGTCACACCATGGTCAAGGCACGGTTTCCTTGGCCAAGTGTCTGGGGAAGATGTGTCACTGTTACTGTAGTTCTTATGAGAAAGTTGTAATCGTCTTCCGAATAGTACCGGATTTTTATTTATTTATTAAATGTATCATGCACACATAATAATAATAATAATAATAATAATAATAATAATAATAATAATAATAATAATAATAATAATAAATTGTATTAACAATAATTTCTGACACACACACACACACACACACACACACACAGTTTTGAGGATAGAGCTGAAATTTGGTAGGGAGGTGCGGGTGGGTTAGAGAATGGGCGTACACTATCTCGAGTCTTTCCAAGAGGGGTCAGGGCCGACGCGTTTCCCCCACCCTTGGGTTTGATGCATTCACTCTCTTGAAGACAGATAGTTGAAATTTAATAGGGAGGTGAGAAGGGCCTTGGATATGGTCGCACACTGCCTCTTGTCCCTCCACCTGGGCGAGACCGGGCGATGCAACTGTGATGGAAGCACTTTCCATGTTGTTTTTTAACTTTGGTAGTCATTTATCTTTGTCGTTTATATATCGTTTATATCACTCATAGAGCTTGGCATAACTTCCTGGTCCACTCAGAGAGCGTGGCTTAACTTCTTGGCCTACACAGAGAACTTGACCTACTGTCCCACTCAGAGAACTTGACTTATATATCACTCAGTGAGCATCATTCACTTGCCACTCAGAGAAGGCATTCTATAAGTCACTCGTGCTGAGCGTGGAGTCAGGCGCTATCACATAAAACGATAAGAAAAGATTAGCGTACCTCCCAACTGCTTAGTTCGAATATTTGTAAATCAAGGGAAGTTCTCCGACAGCCAGTGTGAGATTACTGCGACAAATACACGCTGAACCCGGCTACCAGTCCTACACTTCGGCTGCTTCTTCGTGGATGATTCGTACTGGGTCCCACTAGATTTCATGCCATCTTAGCTTTATAACCACTTTACCGTCGTTTCCTGTTATCTCCGCCTGTAATTAATAACCTGGAGCTGTCGGTGGACCTGTTATCTCCAGGCCTGTAATTAATAACCTGGATCTTCTGTCAGGATATGGACAACTCGAAGTTTATATCTATATTGCCATGTGTACCAACTGACTGATGTAGTCACGGTTACGCTTTCAGTATAATCCGTCAAGTTTTAATATTCATCGGCCAAAGCTGGGAAGACACCACTACTGTTTCTGTGAACTTAATAATAGTTTTTTGTTTACATATATCTATATCTTCGTCAGGATATATTTTCGCAAAATTTCACTTTATAGATTTATATTCCCTCCCAAGTATCTCCTGACGCAGAACAAGACAATGTCAACACACTCAACTCACTAAACGATTCAACAACTATTTTTTTTATCGCCTCTTTATTGTGTTTTTCTTTATCAACAGTCTACATATATACACTTTATCAACGACCTGCCTCACCCCCTTATTCTACTACCGTTTCCCAAGTTAGTGTACCAGTCAAATTCAGTTTAGTATCGCTTCCTGTCCAACCTCAATCGGATCATAAGTCAGGCTTTATACAGTACAGTACAAGTTCCCTTTAGCTGAAGCTCATCATCATTCACATCATTCATTCCAAGTACTTCTCGACTAAGTACTCCCTTGAAGAGTTCCAGCGTACATAACATTACACATTCCTGTTATTAATCTTATGTACAGTATATTTATTTCCTCATAGCTTGGCCCATAGTTATTGTACATCATGAGTCCCTGACAAACACTCTCGGTAGTAATGAGTTTCCTAGTCACGTCCATAAACAACACAATAGCAGGAACACAAGCTAGTTTTATGGTTTACATTATTTATTAATAGTAAGCAGCATAAACCCGTAGCTAGTCTGTAATGTATTTTGTGAATCAATGTTACTGATTAACTGTATACCATAAACATTAATCTCGTTTATTTTTTTCAACAGTTTTTTTTTCTTTAGTAATGCATACTGACCCATATCACGCTCTAAGAAATAGTCCTGGGAGGCAGAACTGATAGACCGGTGTTATAATAAACCCGTCGTGAAGAACCTTGCTCTCGTAACATAGAAATGATTGACCTACTCAAGTAAGCTGGGGGTGGGGGGGGGGGGTGACAGGTCCATTAAAACCTGGGACTGTTAGGAAGGGGGCTGATTTGACCTGAAAACTCGTATGAATATCTATTGACAGTGGGTCCTTAAGTCCAGACAGTCCGTTAGGAGCAGTATGGACACAACAAACTGAAACCTAAGCCTTTTGTCAACATAGAAGTAGGCAGTGTGGCCGGTACTGCTCTCGACCGTTTCACTCCCCAACCACTGTTAAAGGTCCTTAGCTTCAAGAGGTACACCGAGAGCGAATTTGTCGCCTTTAAGACAGCAGACAAACGTTGTATCTGTTAGGCTACGGTGACCTTACATTTCTAGATACGTTACAGTAATTATTAGGTACCGGTGCTGTACTTACTCACCACGTGGGAAGTACTGTGTCTGTCCTGTATACCTGTAATTGTATACCTGTAACTGTATTTCTGGAATAATACATTAAACACCCTCCCCGTGCTTGTGTACCAGTTTAAGTTTGTTCCAGTATTTGTGTGTGTGTATTAGCACTTGTGTGTCTTAGTAGTTGTGTGTATACTTGTAATTCTGTGTATATGTATGTATTTATGTATACTGTACCATATATATGTGTATTTTTGTACGTCAGTTCTTGTGTGTATTTGTTTTTAATAGTACTTTTGTGTTTGTGTATACCCGTACTTTAATAATAATGATGATGATGATGATGATGATGATGATGATGATGATGATGATGATAGTAATAATGAATAAAACAGTAGTAGCAGCAGTATGTGTGCATCAGGACTTATGTGTATTTATGTATGTATGTAAGTATGTGTGTAAGTGTGTGTTTAAGCACTTGTGTATACAGTTTAAAACCGTACCTGTGCGGTTATTAGGAATGAAAGGTTGGCTGACTGGCTGGTTGACGCTGACTGGGTGGCTTAACTAGGTGGGATAGTGCCGCACCTTGTCACGAAGAAAACATACACTACTTCTTGGGCCTCACACTTGCCGTGGCTGACACTGGCACACACCCACAACACCTACACACCTCCACGTTTTACATTTACACTTTAAAATCACGACCACTTTAAACACTTAACGCTAGACGATTAATCACAGGATAGAGGAAATGAGGAATAAATAAGTACGGTGTTGGCTTCCCGGTGTCTAGCACGGAACTGAGACTCTCTCAACCAATAATCTTATCGCTCTTATCGTCTCACCTGGCCAGCTGCGATATGATTGGTTGGGAATTATGCTATCAGGTGTTTGTGCTACGCTGGGTTGCCACTTACTTTATTACGTGGTGATTTTTTTTGGGGGTACGATGTCATTCTAACTTTCCATCAGAATCACGTAGATAAGAATCTTCACTTGTAGGTCAGGTCAGGTCACAGATGCCCAGCCAATGAACAGTGACTTGAGGAGATGCTGACCTTTTTTCTTCCCAGTGGAGTGGAGTGGAGTGGAGTGGAGTGGAGTACCTGAGTGGCTGAACCTTACCAAATGGATTGCTGTGTCTGAATACCTGGACTCGTTCACTTCGTGTATCTGAGTGGCTGGACTTATCAAGGTCACTGAATAAAATACTTCCTTTCCCTGCTGTAGTCCTTCAGTCGTTATATAGTTAAGTTATGGTCCCATTAAACACCGAGAGAGTGGACGAAAATTAACTGACACCGTATCGAAAATAACCGAAATTAAATGAAACACAACTGAACCGAATTGAAATGTAACTAAATTTGACCGACGCGGGATAGTAATGGCAGGAAGTAAACGGGACTTGGCCAGGTACAGTAGAGTCACTATTTACACTGTGTAACTAGAGCGTGACAGGGACCAAAGCTGGAGAGAAGTCACTCGTCTACCCTGTGTTAGGAAGGTGACTCACTGACTCATCAGCTGTATGTTATTCAGGAGACATGTGATGTAACTGAAGGTTTATTATTGTTTTCACTGCCCCTTCCTCCCTCCCTTCCTTCTTTCCCCTCCCTACTTACCCCTTTACTTCCTTCTCTACCCACTTGCTGCCTCACTACGTCGAAACAAGTGTGGGTGGAAGGAAGTTTGTAGATATTATCACTGCCACCCCCCCCCCCCTCCGTTGTGTGGGTGGCGGGAAGTGTGTAGGTATTATCGCAGTCCCCCGCACCCTGTTGTGCTAAGCAAGTGTTATCGGCGTTTACACATTCCGTCGCTGCCACACTGGGATCATACTTCCGTGTTTTACTTTTTAAGTTTCTCATCGATCATGACCAGATGTTTCACCTGTGTGCGATAGTAAACACACCTGTCCCACACTAATCAATGGCCAACATTTTATCAATTAAACTGATATGTTTAGTAAGTTCAACGAACGTTATCACCAAAAAAATCATCTGATACTGGAGAGACCCCTCACTAATCCTACCGCCTCTGATAAACTTATTATTGAATCGTAACTTTGTAAAAGGCTAACTGAGTCACACACACACACACACACACACACACACACACACACGTGCACACACACACACACACACACACACACACACACCGTAACTAAACACGACACTATGGCGGTGCACCTCTCCCCGGCAAAGAGAACCCCCCGATCCCTCCCTCACCTTACGTCACAACACCCCGCCCACACTGTCACCGCCTAACAAACAGCAGGTTGGAGCCAATGGTGTTTTATTTGTAACCTGTATTAAAACTGTAACCATTCTTGTATACAGAGATGGAGGTGGGATACAAACTTAGCCTCCTAAGTCTGGCTACTATTGTGAGGTTCCTTGGGGCCAATCCAGGAGTTTTACGATATAAGGTAAACAAACACAGAGGTGCCACATCTCACAAAACGCGCCAACCACTGTACCAGGTAGGGCGACTGTACACCTGTGGGTCCCCGTAACACCTGTGCCAGTCATTAAATAGCGACATGTGATGCATAAATGACTTTTGTTTGTGTTATTTCTTTTAAATGTGTTTTTGCTGAGAATTCTCCTGACGATAGTACACGACAGTTCTTGTCTGCTGTGTGATAATATTTACATGAGGCAGCATCGTGTGTGTTTGTTTGGTAAGGTACTCTAGGGTGAAGCTTGAGGGTTGCCAGGTCGTAAATATAAATGTATGAATTAAAATTAACCCAGACTTCGACATAAACCATCAGTGGCAACTCAACGACCAGCTGCATATGCATTTGTGTACATCCATGAGTTATTTCAGTAAAGCAATCACTACCACCTGTGCAAATATGTATGTATGTATGTATGTATGTATGTATGTATGTATGTATGTATGTGGACAGCAGAACTCGAAAGTGGAAATGTTACTGTTCTTAACCAAATTATAACTATGTCGGGATAAGTTAGGTTATTTGAATCCAGATTAGAATGCTTAACAGATGACCCACTGATATTTATAGAATTATTCTGTTAACTTTTAGTCTCTCCTGTGAATAATTTTACCCAAATCCTTTCAACAAACTCGAGTACTGTAGGTCGGGTGTACGGACAGGTGAACAGGTGACAAAAGTGTTTACCTGTCACTACAATCAGGGAGGTCACTCGTGAAACCACAAGGGAAATAAAATGATGAAGTCAACTTTCAATTTTTATTTTGTATAACAACAATAAATATATTCATGATACAACATGATATACTTCATTATCCTACATCAACATAACACAACAGGAGCTACGAGGGTTTGGGGTATAACGCCTCTACCGTAATACATCCCAAAGGCTTGGCGAGTTGACGAGGAGAGAAACAACATTTTAGTTTTGCATAATGTTGTCTTGTCTGGTTGAAACACACCTCAGCCCCTCGACCACCAGTGACTCCGGTGATAGAGGCCGTTCAGCTGTGAGTCTGACAGGGGCTCACTGTGACCGAGGGAACAGTGTGTCCAAATCTTGTTATGCACCTTTTACACTTTCCATCGACAGACACAGATACATTGTATATAAGGAAGGTGTGTCAAAGGTTTGGGGAAAGTAAAAGAATATATATTGCACCAAATAAGCGACTCTGTTGAATAAGATGTATTTGGGTTTAAGTTACAATCTGAAGAAATTGTAAATGACTTGTATGATGATGAGAATAACAGAAGTTTTGTGAGGTTTAATAACAAAATATAGCAACTGCTGACTGACACCATCGTCACCCAGTCCAACATATTTTGTCTAACTTAGGTAAGGTTAGGATAATCAGGTTAGGTTAGATTAGGTCAGGTTAGATTAGGTTAGGATAGGTTTGGTTAGTTTAGGTTAGGTTAGGTTAAGTTAGGTTTGGTTAGTTTAGGTTCAGTTAGGTTCAGTAACATATGCTGAATGTATGTTCGTCTTACTCAAGAGATAAATTCTGTGAAATAAGTTATGACCAGAAAGATTTTCATTACCCTTAATTACCCAACATTACCTTGTTGATTCGGGTATGAACGGCAATTTCGCCCATTTGGCGCATATACGTGTGTGTGTGTGTGTGTGTGTGTGTGTGTGCGTGTGTGTGTGTGTGTGTGTGTGTGTGTGTGTGTGTGTGTGTGTGTGCGTGTGTGCGTGTATAAAAGACATAGACATGAGAAATACAGAGCACAAAGGATATGTCAGCCGATGACTTCACTTGGTGTGAATTTGTTTATATTTTTACATAAAGGCAAAAATGTGTCAGAGATATGAATTCATACCCTTCAGAATGTTGATGTTGCTGAATAATAAACAACATTAATACACTTCGGTTTACAGGTCCTTTAAGGGGAAGGAGATCTTTCACTTATTCTTTCGCAGTAGAACGAAGAAACAACTTAAATACGAGACTAATGGAAAATAAGAGAATAATTAGTCAGGAACACTGAACACGTGTTAGTTTTCTTCAGGTGTTGATGGGCCAAGAAATGTAATTAATGTGTTTGTTGTCACTTTGCTGATAGAATGATGTGGTCCCTTCACCTGTCTGAGGGAACATAATACGTCACTCTTAGCCGAGTTCAAGTTCTCATGTTCTTCCAATTAAAATAGGTTCTCGCAGAAAACTTCCACCCACTCTGAGTAGTGACCAATGTTTCCTAAATGAAACAATTAAATTACAAATACTTCAACTAACCTAAACAGGAATAACAATACTAATTAAAATACACCATAAAGGCATTTAGTTGTTTTTTGGGGGGGGGATATGAAAATAACCTAAAGAATTGTATTAAGGAATGGCGAAAGATGGTATAGTAACCTTTTTGGGGAACTGGACTCGGATTCCCATAGGTTCGTAAGAATAATTTTCCTCCCTTAAACCAGAGGTATGAGGACGCATCTTAACCACTTCACTCAAGTTACAACTCAGACACGGCGACCACAAAAAAAAATTAAAATAAACTCTTGTAAAACCAAACAACGACGCGACCTTACCTAGATGCATTCACCTGAACCTCAATTAGGGGGGAATATTTCGACCTTACAAATCTTTGAAATTCCGAACCCTGAAACTATTTTATTTTACTATTATCTTTTTATTAGAGGACAGTGAGTGTGAGTTTTAAGGCTTAATGTTCAGACGAGATGGTTAAGCGCAGACTTTCAGTATATAAATATATTTTTTTTTTGCTTCACTACATCTTTATTATCCAGTTACTCCTGTCCTTCCTTCTCAATGGGCAATTATATCACTGCTATAAACGTCATCTGCCGGGTTTTTTTTTCAACACTGATAGCAACTTCGGGTAACTACATAGAGCCGTAGTTACTGAGGAGTTATGATTCCTCCTCTTCACGGTGCTGTTTGTTTCCACTTGACGTTTCAAAGACACCAACGTTAAGCAAATGTTTTTAAATGTTTCTTTATTGTCCACAGAACAGTGAACGATAAACAGCTCATCACTGAAAATTTCCTGTAGATGTTTATCAGCTTACATCACCAGTAGTTCAGCTGATACGTTCACGCATTAAATATATATACGTGTAGATTCTGCACATTAATCCTAAATATATATATATATATTTGTTTTTATACAAATGACTACAAACAGTAATATCAAAGTTGTTTTTTTAAGGGTATTTATAAAAGAAATAAACCAACCAGAGAAGATTTGTAAATTTTCAGCCGAGACAACACGAGAGTACTGGAGGTCCGAGGAATTAGTTTCATGTTTTTCCTTCAAATTTCAGCGTTTTGTGGCCTGAACCCGGGCGTGGTGGGCCTGTTGTGGCCACTTAATCC